GTGACTCTTGTTTAAGGAATCATGCTATAAAATTGAATCTTCTGATTTATCAAGACCAAAAGAGTACCTCATGTCTGCTTTGTGACTGTCTGTCGCATGCGTCATTTAATTGTGATAGATTAAGTTTAACGAGGATCTAAGTCAGTTTCAAGACCTCTCTTTATAAAACATTTTAGGGTTTGGCAAAGCTTTAAGGCGGTTTTTTAAGCTTCCGAGTTCTTATATGCAGAATGTGTTAAGTGGATTCTTTAGATTGCCAGTAAAACTTAGCTTAACCTTACCTTAATATTAAGTGCTATTTTTATAATATGTAATATGTAACCCATATATCTAATATATTACAGTCGACTCTCGGTATATTGTAACGAAAAATATGAAGTCACAGTTTTTCTTTATTTGGAATGTTTTTTATTTGTGTTATTTTTTTTATTAGCAAGTATTTTTTTTTGTGGTGAGGAGGTGGAATGCTTTATGCATCGTCAAACCGACCATCGTCGGAATGGTGTGTCCGACTCCCTAACATTTATGTGTAGTATACGGACTAAAACACCCCCTCTTCAGTGAGACTTATTCCCCCTCGGAACCGCTTTCGCATTACTTCGAGGACGGTCTCTTTTATGTTGGCATTTCAAGCCACGCTCTCTTGATTATCGATCTGCGTCCAGACCACCACTTTTCACCGCATTTTCTTGGTGTCCAGTCAATTTATTATATTTCTTATTAGCAAGTATTTGATCACTTCTTATTTAGAGGGTTTGTTCTATACGATTTATATACAAATATATATGTAAATACATTTTTGTCGAAATTAGACAAGTCTTTCTACTCAAAAATTTTATAAAATTTTTTAAAATCGAAATCATTTTAAATTGATTCGAAAGTATTGCAACGGAAACACTATTTAATAGCAAAAGTATTTTATCTGATTTAAAACCAAAATGAGTTGATCTTTTACCAAGCAACTGATAAACAATTCACATTAAAACAATCTGTTTAAAAAAAGATGCTTGAAATGCAACATAATTTCAACACTTATGATATTTTCACTGATCATAAATTTTTTATCAACATTTTGCACGTTTTGCCCAAAGAAAAGAGTTTCCCTTCG